CACACACACACACACACACACACACACACACACACACACACTCCAAAACATACCCTCCTATTTTTCTCAAGTACCTTGAAGTCAAGGAACCAAACATTTGTTGGCAAACTTACTATCTCATGAAGATTCGAAACCGTCGGTAATGTGAGGACTTCGCAAACTGCTTTAGTTGCCCCTTCAGACTTAGATTGGGACAGGAAAATCTGACCACCTTCTTTAGCATGACACACAACAGAAATAAAGTGACGACGAGCAGGACATACGAGCCCTCGTCACCAAATCTGGAAAGTAAAAATATAATGACATGTCTTGCTTTCGAATCAGGCAGTTTTACACGAAAGTAAATACGTTCCAGTATCACGACAGTAAAACTTAATGATAGTTTTAGCTACATTCGTATGGCTCAGCAATACGCAAGAATACCAGAAAACGTTTTCTCAAAAAGAGGAAGGGCACCGGTGATTCATTTTGGGCCTTCAAAGAAAGAGGCGTGCGACTTTCAGGCGATGTGAGAATGAACGCGAAACTGATGGAATGAAAAAGGAAGAGGAACAGCCGTGGATTTATAGAACCAAACTAGATGCATAATACACTCAAATATTGACCTAGTACTACATTCATAGCATACTCAAATGTTGTCCTAATATGCTCAATGTCCTGTAATTTGACTCATGGCTGTCTGTCCTCAAATCGTTTATTTTTTTTTTTAAATCTCGAAATTTATCAACTTTCGTTCATAATCAATTATTTAACAAATATGATTAATTTGAGTATCATGCATTCTTGAAAAAAAGTGTTTTGAATTTTCCTGCAGTTTCGTTATTCCTATTGTGATAATCTAAAAATGTTGAAAATCCCATTACCCTTAAATCGGTCTTTACTATGGATTACTAAAGGGATTAAAGGATACTTATGTTTCTACTCGAACTTCGTGTTCTGACAGGCATAATAATCAGAATATTTAGGATGAATAAACAAATAAAAATTCAATATAAAACAGACACAAATAAAAGACAAATTAAACTAGAACACACCACAGCAAACAGATAGTGGTTAGAAAGAAGAGCATAATTTTTTTCGTCTGTCTCCTCACCGGTAGTGCATGCAATATGCAAAGTACATAAAATATAACAGAAGAACAAGGACTTTTGTGGCAAAGGTCAAAGTCTGTCTGTACTTGTCCAAAGTTCTTGCCACGGTTTGTTCCAGGCGCCCAACAGCTTTTGTACAAGAATTTCCTTCATGGTCAAGTTCTACAGTGACCAAAGAGGACGACACGTACCCTGAAAAGTGACATAATTATGGAAAAGAGTGACGCGTAGCAGGTATACGACACTAGAATGCAACAGTATTTCCGAGTAAAACACATTCTTAAAATATTTTTATTTTCTAAATTCAATAAGTATAGCTGTGTATTGTGTGTGCATGTGTGTGTGTGGGGAGAGAGAGAGAGAGAGAGAGAGAGAGAGAGAGAGAGAGAGAGAGAGAGAGAGAGAGGGGGGGGGGGGATATTTTAAAAGCTGATATCAAGACCATGTATGTCGTATATATTTCTTTCTTTTTTTGCAACTGACTCCACAACGGGATTTTAAAAAGTTTGAATTTCTTAATAAATTGAGTCCTGCAGCCAAATATGTTTGTGATACCAATGATAGTACATAACAAGATGGGCCACTTCTCTCTTTGAGCCAATTAAAAAAGTGTCCTCAAAATTTGGTGGCGCCCTCTTCACAAAAGCGCACTCTTTGCGAACAGAGTTACCCTACTTGAGTTTTTAAAAAATCAAAGTGAAACTAGCAAGTTTTGGGATAAATTTTGGAAGAACGCTTTTTTAAAATGGTTACGCTGACAAAAAACCTCTTCCGGAGGAAAGGGTGATGGTTTTCTTCGTTTAATTTGACTTTAGAATGAAAGGCGAGAGGTCATTAAAATAAAAAAACCCACTAAAACTCCGCACTGAACGTACCCGAACTGCTGATGAACAGCAGTCGATCTGCGCACGCAAGGAGGTGCTATTCCTATTCTTCTTCTGGAAAAACGAAAGAGAGCTTCAAAACAGACTGCAGCGCCATCTGAAGCAAAGAGCATACTTCCTGCGGACACTTTTTTGGCTGAGTGGCCCATCTTGTTATTCACTATCTTTGGTGATACCTTCATTCCCATACTCCGATGCTCTGTCAGTTTGTGGCATTTTTTCTTTACTGTTTTGCTCATCAAGTTTTTTCGGAACTGAGAGCAAGCACTTTCCCACCAAGTGCTCCTCTCTGTCAGTGAAAATGTGAGTCTCTTCTTTGTATGGCTTCGTAATAGACAGATTTACGTGGTTGTCCATTCTGGAATAAAGTAGAAAAGAGTTATAAGTTCGCAGTGTTCATTAACATCAAGATGTTTGTTTCGTGGAGTGCAGTCCGGCTGCTGTGGCAGGGTTAGTTAACAAGCTCACGAGTGGTGTAATTGGTTTTTTCCTTCTCCATGGAACATTTCCTTCTTTCTTTTTGACAGAGGACCAAGTACTATTGTAAGGCGTTTACATTCTATTTGTTTTTGTTTTCGTAAAGTGTTTTACGGCGCTCGCAACTGCATAAGGTCATAGGAGAGCGCGGGACACACCTAATATTTTCAGTTGGTAAGAAATTTTGAATTTTGCCCCAGTGGCGGCCGAAGCCTACTCTTATCGATTTTAGACCCCCAAGGGATCTTTAACGTGCGCAACTTGCACACGGGCTCTCCGAGATTTTTCGCCCTTGTACGAGAAGGCTAGGTGTAGATCTTTCCTACCAGAAGATCAGGGGTGTGGCAGAAAGACAGCAGTAAGGAGGAGCCAAGGAGTAGCAGTAGAAAGGCTGCAGAAAGAGTCAGGAGCCCAGAGAAGGGGGCAAAGGAGGTGAGGGGGTGGGTGCAGAAAAAGGAAATGAAAGCAGACAACAGAACATTGCTAATGAGCAGGAAAGGAGGTGAAAGGAGACAATTTTAGAGAAGAACATTTTTCGAGGCCAATACCTTAACCTCTAGGCCACGAGAGCCCCCTTACATTCTATCAACGACAAACGATCCTGTTGGCTTTTTAAGAACAATTCGAAGGCTGTGTTCAGTAGTATCCGTTCGTTTCGAGAGACAATAGTACATTTCACTGGAGCGGCAGTCTTGAAATACATTTCTCGATGTTGCCCGCAATTAGAACTGCAGTCTGTGCCATAATGATGGTAAATGCAATTTGTATGGTCTTGTTGTTGTTACCGTAAAAGCTTAATCATGACTTTCTGAGCTATTTAAATAAATAGAGATATATCTAGGAAATGCCCAAGCATGGTAATTTATACTGATTCTTGCATAATAATTTATATTGATTCTAAGACACAAAGGCAACATATTTTGAAGATTTTCA